ATATATATATATATATACCCTAAACACAAAAAACAGAAAAGAAAATTTAGGGGAAGGGCTGACGACATTGATGTCTCTCCTAATTGTTGTGCGGTCCAGTAGGGACCTGGATCGACCATCCCAAACTAGCTTTGCCTAGTCATTTTGATAGCTGGTCCCCAACCCGTGTCAAGCCCCAAGGATTTTAGTATTAATAATAGCGGATTATATGTTTTAGTATATCACCAAGTTATTGTTTGTCTTAGAGGCTTGAATTGTTTCTTGGAATGGCGAGAGGCATTAATATATGATTATTCACAAGCTATGAAGTTGATGCAGAACAAGTCAAGAGTCCAATCATCTGGTTCATGACCAAAGAGTTTGATAATTTGCATTATATTTTTATTTTTTTATTTTGTTTTTGTGCTAGAAAATAAAGGGGCTACTATATATTATTTGGAGGGATTATTTTAAATATAAAAAACTATTTTGGAATCATATAAATTTGCCCAAATTAAAGATTCAATTGAAGAAATCAATTATTTAATTGTATTAAATATCGGAAAAAATTAGATATTTAGTTGAATCAAATATGGAGAGACCTTGAGGGAGTGCCGTTATAGCCTATGGTTAAATTTTCACCGAGGAATTTTGGATATTTGCTTACAAATTTCCCTTCTTTTCTTGAATTGCTTGGTACTATTTATACCTCTATTGATTCAATGAAAGATACCTTTGATGTTTTGCAAAAATTGTGTCTAATAGGGGTTGATGCTGTCATTTGTTGGATTGATTTGCTAATTGTATGTAATTTTGAATTGTTCTTTGTTTTTTCTTTCAGTATATTTCTTAAATCGAAATTTTGGTCTACTTAATTTTTTATTTTGGTCTACAAACAGCTTACAATTACCCTGAAGAAAGAAGCGGGAGACTCAAATGCACAATATAATGAGTATTGCTATGCTGGTGGCTTACTTGAATATGTGAATTGGTTAAATGCAGATAAGGTATGAACCCTTTAGTTATGTTGCTTCTTTCAGGTTTCTTGTTTTGGAGTAAGAAATTTTAGCTGTTAAATAGTTGATTTCATTTCTAAGTTTTGTTTTTAAACATTTTTTGGAGAAAGTACCCTAGCCCCATGCTGATTATTTAAAATATTCTAGTTTTGATTCATTCTCACGTAGGATCATGTTGGTCTATAAACTATCTGTGATCCTGAACATTTTTGTGAGCTTCTTTTTCAACCGTCAATCCCAACTTGCTCAAACTCACCTATATATATATATATATATATATATATATA